TGGAGTGAGTGGTCATTTTATTATTTTGTTGAGTCAAGATGGAAGGTTGAGAGTAATTTAAAAAACATTTTTTCCTAAAGATTTAAAGATTTTATCTTTTTAACAAATTGTATTAATTTAGCAAGTATAGACTGGGGTCGGGGAGGCACGAGCTAGGGACAGAGGAGGCAATCTAGGGATAAGGGAGGGAATCTAGGGACAAGGGAAGGCAATCTAGGGACAAGGGAGGAAATCTAGGGACAAGGGAGGTAATCTAAGGACCAAGGGAGGTAATCTAGGGACAAGGGAGGAAATCTAGGGACAAGGGAGGAAATCTAGGGACAAGGGAGGCAATCTAGGGACAAGGGAGGCAATCTAGGGACAAGGGAGGTAATCTAGGGACAAGGGAAGGCAGTCTAGGGACAAGGGAAGGCAATCTAGGGACAAGGGAAGGCAATCTAGGGACAAGGGAGGAAATCTAGGGACAAGGGAGGGCAATCTAGGGACAAGGGAAGGCAATCTAGGGACAAGCGAGCTAATCTAACGACAAGGGAAGGCAATCTAGGGACAAGGGAGGGCAATCTAGGGACAAGCGAGCTAATCTAACGACAAGGGAAGGCAATCTAGGGACAAGGGAAGGCAATCTAGGGACAAGGGAAGGCAATCTAGGGACAAGGGAAGGCAATCTAGGGACAAGGGAGGGCAATCTAGGGACAAGAGAGGGCAATCTAGGGGCAAGGGAGGCATTTTAGGGACAAGGGAAGGCAATCTAGGGACAAGGGAGGTAATCTAGGGCCAATGGAGGCAATCTAGGGACAGGGGAGGTAATCTAGGGACAAGGGAGGTAATCTAGGGCCAATGGAGGCAATCTAGGGACAGGGGAGGTAATCTATGGACAAGGGAGGTAATCTAGGGCCAAGGGAGGTAATCTAGGGCCAAGGGAGGTAATCTAGGGACAAGGGAAGGCAATCTAGGGACAAGGGAGGCTATCTAGGGACAAGGGAAGGCAATCTAGGGACAAACGAGGCAAAAACTAGGGCTCGAGGAGGCAATCTAGGGCCATTATAGACTAGGGTTAGGGGAGGCACGAAACATCTAGCAGTTCTAAACTATTTACACAAAAATCTAAATGTACAAACAAGTTTCCAATCGTAACCAATACCTCTTTGGGTGTGTATGATACTAGTTTTTTTTCCCCCACAAAACGTGTAATCGTTTATAGCTTTGTTTTACTGCTTTTAAAAAAGAAATTTCTAGACTATGGATAGTTCGATCTGTGTTAAAGAAATTTCTAGACTATGGATAGTTCGATTCGTGTTAAAGAAATTTCTAGACTATGGATAGTTCGATCTGTGTTAAACAGACCCAGCTGGTTCATGACCAAATTAATATCAACATTTGAACCGTAACGTAAATTTGTGGGCTAGAACATCAAGGGCAGAGTTTCTTTCAGTAATCCCCCCCCCCCTCCACTCTTTCATAAAACATAAAAAATATGTAAATTATATAGAAAGCACATACTTTATTCAGCATCCCGAACACCCCCTTCCCGGAAGTTACAAGTTCCCTCCACTTACCCCAGGAAACAAAAAGGTCGGAAAGAAACCTTGATCAAAGGTGGTCTAACGAATAGGGTCAAACTGCCCAGGAGCGAATCGTCTGCTGTCACAAAGTCTATTTTTTTTTTTAAATTGTTCAATTATTAATTAAAGTTTAATTAAGCAACGTGGTTTGAAAATATAAACCGAATACTCCAGACCAAAACTAAAAATTATCATCTAAGATAGATTAAAGATACCAATGTAATATCTAACTAAATGAAGCTGTAAATAAAATAAATGTTTCAAAATCTGTGTAGGCTTACTCCTATAGTAAGATTTAACTTTACTGCTAAATACTTTTTTAAAAGGCATTCTGTTTTTAAGCAGGACATTTAATAAAGTCACATTTTTATATACACATACTGCTTGCAGTCTAACCTAGGCCTAATCGGGAGAATCGATTTTTTCGACCTAGTTTTTTTTTTTATTCCATTTCTGTGTCAAGGATTGACCCAGAAACATTTTTTTTTTTAAATATACAACAAGGGCATTGCATTCTAAAACTACTGTTAATTAAAAAACGATATAGCGTCCCCTTGATGCTATTTTTAGATTGTGGATACCATAATAGGAAACCTGTTATTAAAAATATTTTGCTTTTTGCTTGTAGCCGTTCAGGATTTAATATACTGGTAAAGTAGGGGGGGGGGGGGGATATGGGGGTGTTGTCACCTGCCTAGAATATAAAACTTGGGACTAAACCAATTATAATTTCTAAAAATAAATTGTTAAAGATATAGGCGTGTACATAAATATATATACCAAATGGTTTCTGTTATGCTGTATATATGGGTCATAAACATTGTGATTTGTAGGTGAATTTTAAAAGAGGGTTGAAAGGACGAATTTATGTTTTAGCAACAATGCGATTTACAGATGATATATAAAAGAGTTAAAAGGACGAATATATATTAGCAACAATGTGATTTATAGAAGATATTTAAAAGAGTTAAAAGGACGAGTATGTCAGCAACAATGTGATTTATAAATGATATTTAAAAATGTTAAAAAGTCGAATATATATATCAGCAACAATGTGATTTAATGATGACTTTTAAAAAGAGAGTTGAAATGACGAATATATGTGTCAGCAAAAATGTAATTTGTTGGAAACATTTAATAGAGCGTTGAAACGACGATTGTTGTGTCAGCAACAATACGATATGTAGATGCAATTTAAAAGAGATTTGAAAGGATGAATATGGCGATGAGTGTGGAGATGTCACATCACACTAGTTGTTTCTTGCCAAATCTTTATTATTGTAGCTACGTTTATCATATAGGGGCCTACCTACAGTTGCGTAGCAAGGACGGGTGTCACCCGGTGCTGCACTTAATGGTGTCACCCCCAGAGGCGTAGTTGACCCTTCCCGGGGACAAATTTTTGATTTGCACCCCCCCCCCCCCTCAAACTTTCGATTTGCACCCCCCCCCCTCAAGTTTTCGATTTGCAGCCACCCCGCCCCCCCACCCCCTCAAACTTTCGATTTGCACCCCCCACCTCAAGTTTTTATCTATATATTTTTGCTATTTTTTGCCTTGGTGTCTCCCCCCTAAATGGTGTCACCCGGTGCGGACTGCACCCTCCGCCCCCCCCCCTCGCTACGCCTCTGCCTACCTCATCCTAATCCTAGCACAAATGAAAACCCCTCTAACTGATATATAACCTCAAAACAATGTTACGCGAGGGGGAAATTGAAAACAATTTTAAAAAACTGCACTGCAAGAGCAGATTTTTGTAACAAATTGTTTGGCAACGTTACTGGCTGACAGCTTCCGCTTTTCTAAAGCCTCATTATAAAACAAAGGCATATTTGTAGAGTGAATCGACAAAGAGATTGATTTTAAAAAAAAATCAATTTTAAATTGGGGCAGGTGAGCTGGGTGATGAATCACATTTGTTTAGGGACAGTAGACGAGGTATAGGGGAGAGGGTGGGGGGGAGGTAATCTTACATTGGTGGTAGAAAAAGGGGGTTTGATAAAATAATTCCCAAAAGTATAGGTGAAAACTTAAGATTATTAAATTTTCGTATTCAAGTTTTGCATTTTTTTTATATTCACCACACCCCCCCCCCCCCCCCCAATCCCCCACACCAAAAACGCCAAGCACATATCAAATAACAACAAAATGTTCAACACCCCTCTCTCTTTTCAAATACCATAATTATACCGACAATTTAACTTTCCTTTCGTCACATTCGTACTTGAAAAGTTACAACTTAAATGCAACCTTACACTTTCTAGCAGTCAACACCGCGCCCCACCACCTCACTATAGGCCTACTACATCAACCTCATCCTTAAAATCAGAAATCCGAAATCTCTCTCTAATGTGACATCAGTTGCGATTTGGTGCCGTGTGCAGAGGCGTAGCGATGGGGGGGAGGGGCAGGGGGGTACATATGTCCCCGGGCGCCGGCCCTAGTGGGCGCCAAAATGGGTTGTAAAAACAAATCAAAATGTCATTTTAGCTGCATTTTTTGAGGGGGGGGGGGTGCAAATCGAAATTTGCTCCCGAGGGGGGCGCCAAATTGATAGTTTGTCCCCGGGCCGCTACCCCTCTGGCCGTGTGGAATGGTAGGTTCGGATCCCGTTGGTTTCTGACTGCCCTGTCTTTACTTGAACTATGTTCTGTACCTTTGCTTATCCTTGGCGTTGAAATATCACTTTCTGTTTATATTGCTATTTCAGTTACAACGCCTGCTTCCATCCCCTCTACACATCAGTTGTAGACAACCACCTACTACAGTAGTAAACTTGCACTGTACACTTCAGATCTTTTGTAAATAAAATATATTGGTGGTTTGCATATTCCCTGTTTATGCATTGTCTATGACTATTTGGCTGTATGATTGTACATCAGTATAGCTCTATTTAGCTATGTAGCTATGTGGTTATATGGATATAGGTTTATAAGACTTTGTGGCTAAATGGCTATAGATGTTTTGGCTTTTTGATTATGTGGCAGTTTTCCTTTATGTCTATGGCGAGTAGGGTAAAGATAATCAAAGTAGAAGTCTAATTATAAGGTTACGAATATGGCTAAAGGCTATTTCTACGGCCTAACCACTTAGACGGGGCTCCAGTTATAATTAGGGAATCGATACTAGTAAATGACCAGCCTTAATACGCTTAGAAGCTTAGCCTAGAATAGACAAGTACGAACTTCTTTGCACGATAAATTATGCGTTTAATTTTTTGTAAACTGCATCTTGCAAAAAGAGCAATGCATTAGCTTCTTCATCAAGTCTACTTTAAAAAAAAAACAACTTTAAGTTAATTCTCAAATTTTCTAGTTATTCAGCGTCAATTTATAAAATTCCAATACTTTTTCGATTAACAGAGGATCATAGTACAACGCGACATATGGTGTAGAAGTCGTTGATCGAATGAACGATAAAAAGGCTGTTGTTACTTACATGATGTGGTGATGTAGCAGCTCCGTGCAGCCGGGATGGCCATCTATACAGCTGGGGATGTCATCATGGCCAAAGTACGACGGCCATGCTATACAGCATCCACAACAGAAAAAAACACAACACACCAAAAAAAGGGAGGTAACACTCCGTAGACCAGACAGCGAGTTATCGAACTTGGCCACAGTACATCCGTCCGTATCAATACGTGGTGAATGCTTTGCTTACACGTGCGCGCTAAACACACCTATCGGAGTGTAATTGTGTAATTGATTACATCAGGCGTGTAAGCTAAAATAAAAAAATACCATGCAGCCCAGTCTACGGCTGAGCCTTGTGTGTTGTATCGTTTCGTTGGGTAAAAAAAAATACGTTTACTTTTTGCAAACAAATTAGAGAGCGCTGCGGAAAAAAGAGAGGGGGGGGGAGGAAGGGGGGAATGTGCAACTGGCTCAGCAGGCTAGCAAGAGGTGCACAATTCGTTAACAACTGTTCCGCTTGTCGCACATTCCATTTAATCGACATAGCGAGACCTAACATTTTGACCTTTGTAAAACCAAAGGGGAAAAAAATATTTAAAACGCGATATGGAGCAATTTTTTGTTTGTTTTTATAAAGTTCTTTTTAAGTTTTCATTTAAACGGTGTGCGAATAGACAGGCGGTGTTGATTTAAAAGGTTAAACTATTCGAGGTTCTGATGTTTTTATTTTTGTTTTATGGCCGAACTTTGAGTTCACGCGGAGAGGGCGGCGATGTTAAAACAAAATAACATGACATGAGAAAATAAAGATTGACAAATTATGAGCTTTTGTATTTAAAATTCTTGGTGCTCCTTTTAGTTGTTTTTTTTTTTCTTCTATTATTAAAAAAAAAGTAATTTCTTTTTTTTTTTTAAATTTTGTTTTATATTCTTTATCCTAAAACAGACTAAACTATCCAATACTGTGTTCATACAGTTCTTTCCTTTAGTTAATTATATTATTCACAGGGTGCCTTTTAATGAGGAATGTATAATTAGGAATGAGTTTTGTAAAAAAAAAATACACCCCTTAATCCCATTTAGGTTTACCCTTGGCGCTGAAATATCACTTTCTGTTTATATTAATATTAACAGGGCTTTTTTATTTTGTCCGTTATTTGTTGGACTGTCTTCAATTAACGTCGAATGATCTACTTTTATAGTAACAATTTCTAGAGTTAAAAAATGCTCCATCTGTTCTATTTAAAAAAAAAACACGTTAATTTATGTAAAATAAGTTATAAGGTGAATAGTTTTAAGCGATACAAAAATAGTCAACTCAGCAGTTTATTGCAAATGTGAACTCAGACCAACGAAGAGCGGCGCCTGCTTTAAATGCTAATGAACTTTTAAACTGAAGCTAATTAAAAATATTTTTGTTGGCAGTGAATATGAGGGGAGGGGTTAGAGATTGTGAGCTGGGACTGACAGGGGCGCATACTTTTAACACTGGGGGCTCTATGTGGGGAGGGGGGGGGGGGGATAAGATGATCATGTATATATTTTGTCTGTCCCAAAAATTAAATATGGCGAAGTCAATTTTGGTTACATTTATTACAGCCGAGAGAGGGATGCAACTTCTCAACTTATATTCAGTAAAACTGAGGGCTTTGATGGTGAAAAATGAGTTTGAATTGTCTCACTTCATTTATGATGATTGGGATGTCAGTCCACAGCGCATATACAGCAGTGGCGTAGCCAGGATCGTCTCAAGGGCGGTTCCTATTTTTTACCCGGGGACAAACTTTCGATTTGCACCCCCCCCCCCCTCAAACTTTCGATGTGCACCCCTCCCCTCATAATTTATATATATATATATATATATATATATATATACCGAGGGGTCTATGGGGGGGGAGTTTAATACCCCCTAACCCCCCCCCCCTGCCTACGCCACTGTTATACAGTATTGTAAATGGTGGTGGTATTGTTTCAGATTTAGAACCGTTATTTAAAAATCATTGTGAACTGGGGAGCGAGAGGGTGGAAGGACACACAAAAATTACAGTGACGGTGTAGGAACCGTCACTCCGAAAAACAACCTATGACTTGGATGTGCAGGGGGTGATAAGCCCGAGGGCCGTGCGGTAATAGAGATTGGCTAAACTGATCACGTGGTTTTCCCGGGGAGCCATGGTGGCGAGAACCAGCTTGTTATGGCTACAGTTTAAAGGGGTAGGGACTGGGAGACGGGGTGGGGGTATGACGGATGCAGAGAAAAAGGTTGTAAAATGTGATGACTTGCGGAATAAATAGGACGTAACTTGGTTTTCTCACGATGTACAATTTAGACATTCTTCAACGCCACACACAGACACACAGATATATATATATGTATATAATGATATATATATATAGTATATATATATATATATATATATATATATATATATATATATATATACAATAATATATATATATATATATATATACAATATATATATATATATATTTATATATATATATATATATATATATATATATAAACAGCCGAAAAAAAGTATGTCTACAGTGTAGGTCTACACAATTTTTTAAAGGTGTGGGGCGCGCAAATATTCAAACGAGAGGAGACCTTTACTTTTCCGTGTGAGTACTCTACTATGATGCGCGTGTGCATTTTCTATACCACCTAGAGAATGCGTGGGTAATTTCTCACAAAACAGACGACGTATTTGGTGATTGTATGGTTATAATACGTCCCTATATGTGTAACTAGTATTTTGATGCAAGAAATTTCTGAACAAAGATTTAGGTCAATTTCAGTATAGGTCTACGAGGTTAGAACAGATGAAAATGGGGTAAGTAATAACAAAAAAACTTTGGACATTCATTAACTGATGCCTCTGCCGTATAATGAACATCAGATGACAAAAATTACAATTGCTGCACCTGTGGAGAAAAATTGGAAAGAACCTATCGGCAATGAAATACAAAAAGCGCAAAATGTCACCAGACAGACATTAGATTGGAAACTCCAAGGAAGATGAAAGTAAGTAGGCCAAAACAAACTTGGAAATCACTAGCTGTCAGTAAAGCAGAAGCAACCGGAATGACGTGGGCCCAACTTAAAGGAATCGCCCAGAATCGAGTACGGTGGAGAGGAGTGGTTGTATCTCTATGTTCTACAAGGGGTTCTTAAGAATGACGATGATGATGATGTTGTGTCTCTATTTTCTACAAGGGGTCCAACAGAATGGTGATGATGATGATATGGGGGTTAAGGTTCAGGGAGCGTTATCAGCCTAAGTGGCGCAGATAAACAGTTAATAATTTTTAAAGCAATGTTGACCAAAAACAACACATCAGTCTCTTGGTAATTTTATGGTTTCTTTCTACACAAGCTTACGTTGTTTTATAACCACACTTATATATTAAAAACCAAACATATATTTTATTGTAACTGACTACAGACGCGGTATGTAGAGATGTCTGGTGGTGGTGGTATGCTGAACACATAGGCCCCTTCATATGGCCGATAGACATGAACTCTACTTCATCTGTCAAATCCACCGTCTGTTCTAAAAGCTCTTTTTAACTTTTTTTTATTAACCGAAATTCCTTATTATTCGTTTACAATAATGAAACCAAAACATTATAACCCCCTTGAATACAGATAAAACCAGATTTTATTCAAGCTAATTGTAGACACACACACACACTATTGTAGATACTCTCTCACTGGAATGCAGACACACACAGTAATATAGGCACACTTACACAAGGTCATGTATTCACACACACACAGACACACGTACATTTATGTTTATTTTAAAAATGTATGAACAGATGTGAAGTGTTTTAAATGAGACGGGGCTTGGAGCTGCCACCTAAACTCTATACACGAACCATGGAAGGTGGGGGAGTGGGGGGGGGGGGGGTGATCGAAGAACGCGAGGTCAATGAACTCTGGGCACCAGGTGACCTTTTGATCTGGAGTTCAAAATAGTTTTTTTTTCGTTCTCGGCAACATTTTAGAAATTCTGAACTAGTTATTGGAGGAGAGAGACAGAGAATGGGGGTATAGAGAAGTAGTTGTATATGTTAGAATTTATTAAATGTTATGTTTTAAATAAACATATACATTTTTTGATAGTTTTCATTTTAAATTTCAAATCCTGTTTTTAAATTTAGCTATTCTTTAAACAAAAACAAATTTAAATCAAACTTCCTGAATGATTCTAATACTTTGTATTTAAGAAAAACGTGACTCAACAGATAATAAAAACAGTAAATCAGGTGGATATCATAATAATATCATAATTACAAACACAGTAATTTCCACTACTCAGCATTTAGTAATACAACAGACACAAAATGTATGAATTGAAGGCAGTTATTAAACGGCGCTCCGAACGGCATAACCGATTAACCACTTTGCTATAACACGGCGTAAAATTAAATTCTGGGTGAACATAAATAAAATACAGAATACGTTTGACATGAAGTGTATTGATCTCCAAGGGTTCAAAGGTCACTGGAACATGGCAACAGTACAGGTGGTGTCAGTCAATGTCGATCAAGCGTAGAGTGAACCCTGACGCCACGGGTTCAAACCCACGAAGAGCGTAATTGATTTTTTTTTTGGATATTCCGTTTATATATATATAAATATATATATATATAAATAAATAAATAAATAAATAATAAATATATATATATATATATATATTATATTATATTATATTATATTATATTATATTATATTATATTATTTTTATATTTATATATATTATATTATATTATATTATATTATATTATATTATATTATATTATATATATATTATATTATATTATATTATATTATATTATATTATATTATATTATATTATATTATATTATATTATATTATATTATATATTATATTATATTATATTATATTATATTTATATTATATTATATTATATTAATATTATATTATATTATATTATATTATATTATATTATATTATATTATATTATATTATATTATATTATATTATATTATATTATATTATATTATATTATTATATATATTATATATATTATATTATATTATATTATATTATATTATATTATATTATATTATATTATATTATATTATATTATATTATATTATATAGTATATTATATTATATAATATATATTTATATTATATTATATTATATTATATTATATTATATTATATTATATTATATTAATATTATATTATATTATATTATATTATATTATATTATATTATATTATATTATATTATATTATATTAATTTTATATTATAATTATATTATATTATATTATATT